ATCCTTCAAATTCCCCCTTCTTCCTTATCTAACTTAAATAATGAGATAAGCTCCAACACTCCTAAGCTTTGCTAAATTAGTTTAAATATTTCAAGTTCTGCCAACTCCCACTTCTCCCCCCACTTTCTTGGTCTTGACTAAGAAGGTGAAGAAATATTTTGGAGGAAACCTCATGGCCCGAGCTTCATAAATCTTCATCTGCTACTTTCCTAAAATGTCATGCACCCCAAAGTCTATAACAAACAAGCAAATAAACAGCCCAGAGTCAGACACTCCTCTCTTTTCAAAGGTATTTTTGCCTTCTATTGTGAAATGGCTGTTCCTGGGTCCCTGTAGCTTTCTACACTTCCCTCAGATACCAACACATGTCTTCAGAGAACCAGGCGCTCTCTCAAGGCCTGGCGCCCTGCTTTGGCCTGCTCTGTTTGAGGGCAGCAGGCTTTTCTACATGGCTTCAATGGCACCACAAGTGTGGCTGCATCTGTGCCATTTTTGTAAACTTTACTTGGGAACAGACAAATGTGGCCCAATACACGTAGACGAGAAGATGCAACCTGAGCCAGCAGAACGTTGCCTTGGAAGAGGCTTCTTATTTCAGTTCCAAGCCACACATACTTGCACAGTGAACAAATGCCGCAGGGGATATCAGTCCACAACATTCACGGTGAGGCCAAAGGCTCTGCTGTCCTCCGCCCTCTCCTCTCCCCACCCCCCTCTCCTCTCCCAACCCCCACCTGCCTTCCCAAGGACTATTAGATTGCATAGAAATTTCAGAGGAAAGTTAGGTGGCTGTTTGGAATGCCTGCATCCTCCAACAAGGAAAGGAACTTGAAAGTATTTTAATCTAAAAGAAAATAGGAGGGGGGTTCCCTATAAATAAAATCATGCTCAAATAAACACAAAAAGGAGCCAAGGTTTCCTGTAAGGCCACTTTTCAGATGGATTACTGGAAGGAGTATTCTTTCACAGTTTTATGGCTTACTTTGCTATCATCTGCTTAAAATTTGGGTCATTTAAAACAGAGAAGCTAAGATCTAAGCCTTCACTTGGATGAAATATTACAAAGGAAGCAGAAAGTCTCATTCCAAGTGCAGACTCAGAGAGGCAGAACTCTTGGACTCTTGGGTTCTATTCCTGGCTTGGTCCCTGGGCTCTGGTCAGCCCTCGGTCAGAATCTCACTTCTAATCCCTTCAAATCATTTGTTAGTCCCTGTTGTCTAAACAGTGGGGAAAAACCCTGAGTAACACCCCTGGATCCTGTTCAATCGACTGAGATGGTTGGAGATGGTTATAACTCACTTCCAAGAAACCAGGGTGATTTATCCCCTGGGTAGAACTAGTATGTTCCTAAGAGATCACAGTGTCATCAGAACAAATCTTTAAGGTACTGAAACATTTCTCCACCTGCAAGGATCTCTGTGCTCCTTTAATATAACTCAAAAATAATATTGCCCAGCATTTGTATAGTTCTTTATAACTTCCACATTAAAACAATTCTGGTTGAGCTCCAAACCCCCAAGAGGCAGAATAAATAGACAGGTATATTTATCCCCAATTTACAGATGAACAAACTGAGGCTTACATAGGCTAAGAGACTTGATCAAGGGCCCAAAGCTAATAAGTGAAGGGGTTGGGACTCTGTTGTTTTCTGGGTCACATGCTCTTCTGTCTCTAACACGTGGCTTCTCATTAATAACCTTGCTTTTGGACCTGGACAAATGGACTGAGGGAAACTGGTAAAAGGGCTACTACTTATCCCTTCACAAGAATCTGTAGTGCTTTTCAAGTGCAATAAAGGACACTGTGATCCACTGAGGCCCCCTATTAGCATGGATCTAGTGTTATGTCCCACTCACCTCTGGTTACTTCTCTGCTATGGCTTCCCCACTCCTGGCAACTCCAGGAAGAGAGGAGATATAGAAGCTTAATTCCCCCTCCTCTGGGCTTCCATGTCCACAGGCCCATGACTATCTGGCTGCTCCTCACTGATCACTGTAGCTTTTGTTTCTAGGAGGAGTGAATAGTTAGGTAGATAGCTAGCTGTTCCAGGAAATACGCAGTTAAACTTCAGTTAGACTGCCTAATTACCATTTGCTCAGAGGCAAGCTGCACAACTTTCCCGTATCTCAGGTGCCTCCTCTACACGGGCTGTGATAAAGAATGACCAGGGCTGACTGGTAATGGTTCCACAGTGCCTTCATCAGGTAAGGATCCAAGCAAAGCTCATCGTGGAGTGCATGGGCTCTGCTGCTGAGATCTAAGCTGACAGGCCAGAGGAACCAGAGAGAGAAATGCAGAGCTGGCCAAGATGCTGAATCATGTCAGGGTTCAGCACCATGAGTAAATTGCTGGGGGTAGTAAACCTTGAGTCATCAGGGAAGACACTGTATAGCATGCCATTCCTTGACACTAAGTGAATCTGATACACGTGTGAGGGAAATCCAGTGAGGACCAGCCAGGCCCAGGCAGTGCAGCATAATGCAGGGGTACTGGGCTTAGAGTCAGTAGATGGCCTTGGGCTGATTCTGGCTCTATCATTGCCAACCAGCTGTTTGGCTGTGGACAATCCATGCAATTTCTTTGAACCGTCTTGTCCTCATTTGTAACCGAGGTATGCAGATTAAATGAGATCCCATGTGTGGAGGCATCTAGACAGTGCCTGGCACTTATTAAGTGATATGTTTCTTCCTTCTAGTGTTGTACATGTGGTTCCCTTTTTCTTTCTTCTTTTCACCTGACCAACTCCTATTTATACTTTCAGGCTTCATCTCAAATATCACTTCCCTAGAAAACCCTGTCTTGGGCCGAGCCCGTGGCGCACTCAGGAGGGTGTGGCGCTGGGAGCGCGGTGGCGCTCCCGCCGCGGGTTCGGATCCTATATGGGGATGACTGGTGCACTCACAGCGCTAACTGGCTGAGAGCGGTGCGGCCGGTCTCAAAAAGGACAAAAAAAAAAGAAAAGCCTGTCTTGACTCTACTGACCACTAGATTAGCCATTTTCCTTCCGTAATCATACAGTCTCTCAGCATCCTGTAAACCTCCTCTGTGCCATTTATCACAATTTTAGCAAATAATTATTTATGTGATTGTCTGATGTTTGCTGCCGTGCTTGATATATGCTCTTTGAGACTTAGGGACAGTCTTGCTTTCTGCTATATTCCCAACCCTGAGTTCATAGGGAATTTTCAATCAATATTTACTGACTGGAAATGAATAAATGACACATATGTACTGGCTGACACTAAATCAAACCTTCTATGTAAATATTGGACAACTGGTAAAAACAATAAGACCGCCTTTTTTTCTGAAGCAACCATGGCTACATACTCATGCTCCTAAAAAGAATGCAAAATCTCAAGACTTCCAAACTGACAATATACAAAATTCAAGTGATTTCTTTCTAGTCAACATCATTCAATTTTATAGCACAAATAATCTTTTAAAATTTTAACACATGTACCTCAAACCCTTTTTGAAACAAACCAATCAATCCCTTGACCATTTTGGGATTTTAAGAATAAGGGTGGTTCTTTGGGAATTCTTAGGGGTCTTCTGCTTTACTCATATTTCATTAGGTCTTACTGTTTTAACAAAATACTGGAGGTAGACTTCTTGGGCTTTGAATAGAAATGGAAAAATTAACTGGAAATACTTTTAAAGCCTCCCTACCGCCTGCCCCAAAACCTCATAAATGCTTCAAAAAAACTTCAAGGATGGCTTTAGCTTTGTATCTGAGAATAGAATGTGACTTAACTAAAGTAAACTCCACAGATCCTTTTTTAAAAAGCAGCTGCTTCCAGATGGAAGGCATTCTGGCAGAATGGATTACACAGTCACAGTCTACAATCTTAAGCATTTCCCCTACTGCAGTAATGTGTCATCAGTAAAGTTTCCTGGTGACAGACAAATGGATCCATTTTAACTGGGGACAATTTCTCTTCAAATCCTATTGGAGGGAGCAACAGGGTGTGGACATGGCCCAGGCACCAGGCATTCTAAAAGGGCACACTAATTCACTCGGGGAACATATTATCCAGGCAGCAGAAAAATCCTTCTGGGCTTAAGTGGAGTCCAGCTTCGCTGGGAATTGTAACATTCATTATACCCTTTGTTGATAAGAATCCCTAATTAGTCACTCTGGAAAAAGCAGGCTAAAATAGGCCAATAAAACGAATAGCTAAGTTAAAGGGGTTGGGTTCTGTAGGATTTGGAGCCATATGGGCTGTCGCTGATATTCAGCCTTAGCTGGTATCAAGATAAGACAGCATCCCATAGCAGAACTGCTGACTTGCTAGGCTAAGTTAAAGGGGTTGGGTTCTGTAGGATTTGGAGCCATATGGGCTGTCGCTGATATTCATCCTTAGCTGGTATCAAGATAAGACAGCATCCCATAGCAGAACTGCTGACTTGCTATCTAGGGGTGGGGGTGGAGAGATCTCTTCTTTATAAGGTTGGGGGACTGGCTGGCACTTTCAAGTGGATAGAAAACTAAGAAAGAACAGACCCATGTGGTGACCTACAACTGCAGGGATTCTAGAACTATACCATGGAGCATAGGAGTAGGGACCCAGCCTACAATCTCATAGATTTACTCATGGGCATCTGGGGGTACACTTGGCTTGGTGAACAAGGGAAGCTTGTAAGGGTGTAATCCTATTTCTGATCTCTCTAATGAAGAAAAACAACATAGTATAATATATACATGTAGATATAAATCTGGAAAAACTCATGCCAGGTTTTTGTGTCTTATTTTCACAGACAAGGGTAATTCAAAAAGTTCATGGAAAGATTCACGTTATCTTTTAATTCTATTTTTCCACGGCCTTTTTGAAATACTCATGTTTATATTAGGAAGGTCAGACATTTCAGCTCTAAACATTCAAATTAAAAATCACATAAGTAAGGCAGAAAGAATATGATTAAACACATCAGTATGCATTAAGAGGAGGAGGAGACCTGGCCTAAAAATTGCAAAAGTCATTCCCCCCACGACCACTGACCTGGGGCCACTGAGTGTGGCTGTGTCTCTCACCGCCTGAGCTGTTTCTGATGCAAAATCCAGGGCGCCTGCCACTGGTTTGGTCACAGTGCCAACAAGCCCTTTCCCAAGGCCAGATATAAAACCGCTGACACCCCCTTCTGTTTTCACACCTTCCACTGTTGAAGTTATAACACTGGTCAATCCACCAATGATACCTAGCGAAAAAGACAGGGGCTGTTGTAACCTGGCCAAGGACAAAAGCAAAAGCATTTAAAGCCAAACCCCAAACCCCTCAATTCCATGCACCTAAAATGATAACTTAAGGGCATTCTGTTAATCTCTGTGCCAGATAGGCCACAGAAAGGCCAAATCACAGAAAGATGCAGCATATTTGCCCAATAAGTCCAGAGTCAGAGGATATATATTACATATTGGTCAGAAGTGTGTTCCAGTTTTAAAAAAAAAAGCTGAGAGGTTAACAGGAGGCCATTTTCCATTCCAGAGCTTGGGCAGCATATGGGCAATCAGGAGAAGACACACATGATAGGAATTAAATCAACAGGAGACTAGGGCTCTGGGGGAAAGCCAAAAGAAGTTGGGATCTTATAAAATATAAGGCAGAGAAATAATCAAATATACACACCACCAAATGTTTGAAATGGGGTAAAAGCTACTGTACGCTTTGCTGAAATCAGGTATAGGCAATTATAGCAAATGATGAAGTCTTCATGAAGGGCACCCCCAAAAGCTGCCAAAGCTAACTGGGACCCTCAATGGAGTCAGTTCAAAATATCAACCTAGGTCAAAAACACAGTCCAAACATTCTGAAAGCTGACAGCAATGGCTGAAAGAGAAGTAGCCAGAAGTTGGCAAAGGCTGGAGAGGTCACAGGCATTGCGGGGAAAAGGCAGCCCTGTCCGGGGAGCATTTCCAGGACTTGTGCCAGGGACACTCTCAGGATGTTTACCCTCTGACAGTGGGGGTGTGAGCAAGCTCTCTAGACTCTTCAGCTCTAGTGAGATAAATTGGTAAAGGAAACTCCTTGGGTGAGAATGTACTAACAACTCACAGCGTTTCTTTTGGATTCTGGGTCCATTTGCTCCAGTGAGGCAATATCCCCTTTCCCAACCTTTTGAATGAAGTTCTTGGCAGAGCATGCACAGTACAGGGGTTCAGACCGGACCTGAGAGACAGAATATTACTGGACCCGGGTCAGGCAGAGCCTACAGAGAGAACTGAGCACAACTCTAATATTTTAAACCAAGGAGATAGACTGTATTCTGGTCTTGTTATCTTTTAAAGGTCTTTTCACCCTGAAAAAGAATCTCACTCCAGGCTACTGATTTCATATAACCCAGAGCTCAATGGACCTTCTTTAGATGAGGCTACTGGTTCCTGGTCTTAGATCGGCCTAACTGGCTCCTGTACGTATTATCAGAATGATCCTTGGCTGACGGTGATTTTGCAACCTTGAACCAATCACCCACTTTCTCAACACATTGTGTGTTCATCTAGAAAGTAAGGACAGCCATCTCCACATCCCCAGGATGCTGGACAGATAATGGCAATTATACATAGCAAAGCATTTTATATTCCTAAAAAAAAAAAGCCCTCTAATAGTCTAATGCACTGTCATTACAGTTACTAGAAAGAATGATTAAATCTTTAACCCCAAATGATTACCTGATGGTCAACTTTTAAAGTCTATAAACAGATTGATTTCAGCCAAATTTTACTTCTAGCCTGATGTCTCCTTGGGGGCTGCTCCCTTTACAAAGCAAAGGCATTTTGATCCAAACCTCACCATCAGGAAAGCTGATAAACAAAAACTCTGACCTAAACATTGTGTCCTAAGCACAAATATAATTTTTTTTTTATTATCTATACTCCTTCCTCTTCCTCCAAATGCAGATAATCAAGACTGATCAGTCTTGATACGACTCTGAAAGCTTCACACAATTCCAAGGATCTGGTACAAATTTCTGGTTCAGTTTACCAGCCATAACTAAGCATGAGCTATCTGCCAGGTGTCACGTGAGGTATGCAAGTACAAAGGTGAACACAAAATGGTCTTTATGCTGTCATGGCACTCACAATCTATCAGAGACCAAGACATACCCAGCTACCATGTGTGCTCTAACTGTCATTAATTCTAACTGGGACAGTGGAGCTGGGGAGATGTCATTTGAGTTGGGACTTATAGGTTGAGCAGGATTTTGATAAAGCAAGGAAATGAGGCAGAGAAAGGGAAGGTGGTGGACCATGAGTGAGCAAGGACTAGGAGGCATGTCTGGGGAGCAGAACATGGCTGTGTGTGGCTGAAGCACAGGGTGGTTGGGGGACAGTGGTTAGAAAAATTGGCTGGGTTTATATTGCAAAGGCCCTCAATGCCATGCCAAGAGGTTATTGAGAAAAATGCAATAACACACAAATGAGTCAGAATTAAACCACTAAAAGTCAGAATTCAAACAAATTCAGAGATGAACACATGCCATCACCTACATCTCTCTGGTATGTGGATCTCCCCTGCTGTCAGCTTTTATTCTACTTGCATTTGACGGTACCTCTGAGGGACTGTGGCAGAACAGCCATTCTTCCACAGCATGCTGTCATGTGACTTACCATGAGCCAGGCCATGGATGCCTGCTACGAGGTGTTCACCACTTGTGGCTGCATGGTATCTGATGTATTCCCGCTCTGACTGATGCCGATTGTCCATCGTCTTCCCTAAGCCATCTGATAATGTCCCAGCAAACTGGAATGAATTAAAAACATAAGGGGAAGTTTTAAAGCCTCAGCACTATTTTTAATATTTTAATTATTTAAAATAAATACCTTCCCTTGCTCCTAGCTAGGATTCAGTAAATACCAATTAGAAAGAGAGATTAATTGCTGAATTACATATACTGTGTGCCCCACAACAATAGTTCTCAAACACTGGACACATACAAATTGTGGGATGCTTACACTGGGGGATACAAGGCTTACAAAGCAACTGCTAAACATCACTAATGACATTTAATTTCCACAACACTACTGAAAATTTACTGAAAAAATTAAAGGCATGACAAAATGGTCTTGGGGGAGGAGAGGTAAGCTTTGGGATTCTATGATGGTAAGGACACAGGCTCTTTGCTCTAAGAATCAGTGGGATTCAAAACAGGAAATGTGTCAGATTAATGCTTTAGAGTTTGGAATAAAAATTTCTGGTGAGCTCAACCTTCCTCAAGTAATACCTTCTTTCATTCACCCAATAATTACTGAGTACCCATTAGGTGCCAAGCTTCATTTGTCAAAAGAAAAAAATTAAGTAGATGAAAAGATTAACAGGTTAGGGCATCTTTCTTGGGAAGAGGTAGACTTGAACTCATGACTTCAAATGCAAACTCATTTTCTCCCACAAAGCAGAGAGATTTTATTTATCCTGGCATATTTTAACCAGAGAAGCCATCTCATCCATCAAAGCTGGATAAAAAGGACACAAAACTCTTTTGTCACAAGACAATTTGAGAAGGTTTAAAGTGACAGTTAATAAACCACAGGGTACTTATCCTCATCATTCAGGCATAAAAGGAGAAGGATATCAAATACATAATTAACCTTCTCAGGAAAGATCTACCAAAACAAGTGGTTTAAGTGCCAATGACCCAGGACTAACCTTTTAGAAAACTCACAGGAATGTTATTTAGATATAAAGCTCAGTGGAAAGAGTCAAGGCAAGAGCTTGCCTGGAAGACCCAGCACACTGGGTAGCCATCTGGGGCCTATTTCATTCTGATTTGGCAAGGGCATGTGTGTGGGTTACACAGATCAGATCTGCCCTGGAAACCATCAGTCCTGAGGCTTCTTGACACTAGTGACAGGGGAGTTCTGAGCACAGAAGGAGGACTAGAGGAAGAAACAGTAATTTTATGTAAAGCAGTGGCTCCCGAGGCAAGCTATGGGAATACTCTTTCATTTCGCTCAATCTAAATGCTTTCATGATCGAGAGCAGTGATTACTGACCTTTCTGGAGCTGCAATCTCTATCAATATTTGTTTGCTTTTTGCCTTACCTGCCCCATATTTCCCGTCTAATTAGAGAATTAAAGTGAATGAAAATTAATTTTACAATTTCCTTTAGGGCAATCGGAGACACCACAGGATATTGCAGAGCCAGCACTGTGAATTACTAAGCAGGGGCTTTACGCAGGGATCCCTTTTAAGAGCATCCACAGTATAGCAGAAGAACCACGAGCCTGGGCTGCAGTGCCCTCTCAACCATTCTGGTAGCTACATGACCCTGAGCAAGGCTCCCTACCTCTGAGCCTCACTCTGCATCTGGAGAATGGTGATAGTACCTACGCTGTCATGTGGCTGGAAGGATTAGTGACGACGGCTCAGGTCTAGCATCTAGTTAGCATTCTTACTGTTGTTATTAGTCAGCTACTAATCCAAAGAGGAACATCTTGCACTATTTGAAGAAGGTCTTTCTAAGGTTTAGAAGTATGGTCATTTGCAATAAGATTTAACATTAAAAAACAAAACAACAACAACAAAAAAACCCTGTTTCCAGCAGATAAACACTAGCCTTCAAAGTGAGTTTTTAGAGTGGCATCATCTATAAAATTAGAGTGTTGGACCTGATAATTTCCCAAATCTTTTCCATCTCTGACACACTGTGTGATCTACAACCCAAGGTGGAATGTCTTTATTAAGCACTTACTCTGGGCCCAGCACAGATTTAGGCACTGCTGAGAATACAAACAAATAATAACCTTAGGTCTTATTCTTAAGGAGCTGACAGTCTCATTGGGAAAAAATCAATTATATATATGAAACAGCCAGAAACAAAAACCCAGAATACGAACTATAAGCAGGAATCTAGACTGAGGAAAATGTAATCCTTGTTTTGGAAAGGGTGAAAAAGAGTCCCTGCTATGTTCTAGAATTATGTAGGTTGCCAGTGTTCTTCATTCAGGGTCTGGGCAAAAATGCTTCTTCCTGATGCCTCAGAAGTAGAGAGATCACACATCCCTGTCATGCTTCTCTGGTTAAAGTATGCCAAGAGGCACCTGCTCTACCTGAAGATGCCTGTGCTCCACCTGAAGACGCCCAGGAGCACCAAAGCTCCTTTCAGGGTCTTGTTCAGGTCTTCCCCATTTTACTCAAGCTCTTACTCTCCTTGAGAATAGATCATTTCCTTGGAAGAAGATTAAGTTAAGGTCCCTTTTACCTATTTCTACAGCTGACTAGGAGAAGTAAAAAATCCCATAACACTTTTTTCCCCTTGAGAGAAAAATCTAGGCAAACTGCCCAATACCATTCCTTCTTCTAACCCCCTGCCAATTAAACAAGCTTAATGTCCAAGGTTTATGAGTGAGCCTATGCCAGAAGCTTAATTGCCAACTGATTCTGATGCAGCAGCTCAGCACCTCCAGCACGAACAGGCTCCTTGGTGCTCACTGTACAAAGACACCATTTTGACCCAAGGAGGATGGGTTAATATGACCTAAGAGATTTAAATCTTCCCTTTCAATGCCAGAGTCTTCCACATGCTTCTCAGGTGCCTCACCTTTTCCATGGAAAGGTACCTACATCTAACTCAACTTACCGTAGAGCCTCTGTCTGAATTTCCACCTCTCTGTCTAAAGTAAGTTGGCTTACTTGTGCAAGCCAACTGGACCTGTCCTTTGTCACTTGGAAGTAAAAAGTAAAGGATATGAAGATATTAACAGGCAATCTCTCTTCAGCACTAAAAATGCGCTTTGAGAACTCAGAAAACTTGGGTAGATGTTGATCTCTGTGATCCAACCAAACCCGTACTGGTGAGAAGTTAATCAGATTTTACTGGGAGAGAATTTCATAGGAATTAAACCAAAGCCATCTAGATAATAGATGCAGTGGTCAAAGGCTGGGCCTTGGGTCAACCCACTGAGTTCTGATATTGAATCCAGGCCACCATAAAGTGTGGTCACCTTTCACTATGGGAGTACCTAAATCAGTCAGTCATCCTTAATACCAACTCTCATTCCCACCTCAGTGGGAAGGTAAACCACACCCTATCCCTTATTTCTCCCTCAAAGACAGCACGGGAACACGTTGGGTGCAGGGAGGGAGGGGACTCCAGCAGCACTTGTTATGGGTGCTCTCTAGCCTTGGTCTTCTCTGAAGCTGGGAAACATTATTTTTTACTCATGTCCTTGACTTTGAACATGATCATCAAAACTGAACAGAGATACTGACTAGAGCTACAACATCACATAGGGAGTGATTGGTCCCCAACATCCTTCATTCCCCACCCCTCAATGTCTTATGACAAATGAAGCCTGAGGTAGATATTCAGATAATTCAGACAAAGGAGAAAGAACCCCAGAGGCATTGAGGGAAAGGCTGAAAATCATCAGGATATGAGCAAGTACAATTCAGCTATGCACCCAGTCAGTCAACCAAGCAATCCAACATGTGCAACTCCTACTGTGTGCCAGGCTAAAACTGAGAATCAGAAATCAGAAGTGGTTTCTGCCTCCTTCCCTCAAGACTTCAGTCAGGCAGTATGTATGTGGCATACAGAAAGATAATCACACCTGAGTTCAAGTTCTGACTGTGACACTTAATAGCTGTGAGATTATGGATAAGTAACTTAACCTATGTGAGCCTTTGTTTCTTCATCTTCAAAATGAGGATAAAACTATCACCTACAAGGATGCTGTAAGGATTAGATAAACATGTAAAGCACTTAGCACAGGGTCTGACACATAAGGGACATTCAATAAAAATAGTATTGAGTTGTCCAAACTTCAATTTCTTCATATGAAAAACAGGAACATTCCGCAGGGCTGTAGTGGAGTCAGGGAGATACTCTGCAGAAAAGTGTCTGGCATGCCCCCCCCCCGCCCCCCGCCCTCCAAGTAAAGCAGAAGCTATAAAAGCGTCAGAGCAGGGAGCATGTGTTAGGCTCTTAAACTGGGAAAGCCACTAGCAACTGGAAGATAATTTGAACATCATTTTTAACTCACTTGTTATAAATAACACCAGGAGGAGCATTTGCAGAGACTTAAGTCAATCTTGCTCATTTTGTAGCAATTTCAAGTCCACAAAATACTTAAGGCTTCAAGTGAATGTTGTCCAAACTAAGTTGAGAGGTTCCAAGGAACAGAATGTCCTTCAGAAAATCTGCTATTACATGTGCAAAGACAATGATTTTCCCCCTTCTTTCGCTTCAACACACCACACTTCATGAATTCCGGCCACAGTCCAAAGTTAAGTCATTAATTTCTCTAAAGAACTATTTTCAGCAAGGGGATTAAAAAATCTAAGAAGCACTTCAAGACGCCAGTTCTACTGAAGAGCACACACACACTGCGAATCAACACCCCACCTTCCAAAAATAATCTCATTCTTTATAAAAAAGGAGACACTGCAAGTTAGCCCAGGTTCAGGGCCTGGCTTTGAACAGCTGATTTTATATAACTGAAATTCAAGTAGATGCTGGGATAGGGCAAGGGAAAAATTCATACTGTGTCCCTCTGTTCTGTCTCCTATCAGTTTTCCTGACCCCTTTATGATATTCAGCAAGCATGGGATGCCAAAGGTATTCGGCCAGTGTAACAGGAGCCTGGGCTTGAATTACTCCCCCTTCTTTTGGGTTCTTCTTTCACAGTTATTTACCTAATGGAAATTTCCTCCTTAATATCCATGCCCCACTTAGTAATTGCTGGTGACAATATCTTCCTTGCCACCAGGGCACATGGTGACCACATATAAAAGGAAAGGA